CTAACTTTTAAGTTCGGGAGATTTGTGGGAAAATAAATATTTGATATACAGGAAGTTTCCAACACTTATCGACATTAGTGAGATACAAAATTGAAAATGAAGACAGCTTTTCACTTCGCTTCAAAGCTATTCAACTTTGAAAATAACCAGCGGTATTAAAATTCGAGTAACGCTGACACATAGTCAAACAAAATGGTTATTTACAGAATTAAATAGAGATACTTTCGAGCTACACTGTCGCTTGATTCCTTCTGCTCCTTGCTGACTGTCTGCTAGATCTCAGTCGGTATCGATTATTAAATACATTTATCCCATTTTGAGAATTTGAATGAAGAAAGAACAACAGTGAGTACAGGCGATTACAAATATACTTCTTAGGATTTTCCAGAGAGCCGCCTTACAATTTCTCGTTTGTCAAGAATTTGAGCAGGGTTCTGTAAAACCTGAATAAAACTAATAAACGTGATTTGACATACGATACAGAAACTACTGACTACATTGTCACAGGACCGGGCTTCGTGTCTCAAATCAGAGATTTGAGTGACTCAGTGTAAAATTTAGCGATAGATCGAAGGTATTTAAAAGAGGGTGGTAAAATGTGAGCACGTGGCGACCTAATAAGTTGGCGAAGAAAGCAATGAGACTGAAAGCATTCATCGTAACACTACAAACGAGTTACTTCTTTGGATATTTTGCAATGGAATGTCATCAAGTAATTTATGTATTTTATCGCCAATGATCTTCCTGATTGCAGTAGATTGGATAATGCAACAGAAAACGGGCAATGAGGAAACAGGTATAAAATGGACTCACACGAAAACAACATGGAGGATCTGGACTTCGCCGATGATATGTGTCTAATTTCCCACAAACTGGAAGATATGTAAGTGGAAAGCAACAAGTTGGCAGAAGAAGCATCGGCGATGGGACTTCACGTCAGTGAACATCGAGAAAACAGAGGTGATGAAGATTCCTGGCCAACACCAACAGCAACAACAACAACAGATAAAAGTCAGCGAGCATAAATGGGATGAACCTGAAAGAAACAACCTCCTTTACCTACCTCCCTGCATGGGAAGCATCGTTTCAACTACAGGCCAGCGGAACTGACGAGAATATCAAAGCAAGAATCGGGAAAGCAAGACAAGCTTTCATTACTCTCAAGTCTGTGTGGAGGTCAACAGCACTCTTCAGCATCAAATACAACATCCGGATTTTCAACTCCAATGCAAAGTCAGTCAATGCTACTCACTATACGGATCAGAGACTTGCAGTGCGCGTCATAAAGAGCATCTCAAACAAACTTCAGACCTTCATTAACAGTTGTCTTCGCTCAATACCACTCAAGATCAGATGGCCAGAAAAGATCAGTAATAGGGATCTCTAAGAGCAAACGAACCAACACAGCAGGAACCGATTGTGAAACAAATAGGGAGGACGAAATGGAGATGGATTGACCATACGCTGAGGAAACCGTCAAGTGACATCACTAGACAAGCCGTTGCTCGAGTAGAACCCGAAAGGGAAGCGACGAGTTGGTCGTCAGTGCGAGGGTGACTTGGAAGAGGTCATGTGAAGACGAAATGAAAGCATGTGGGCAGACTTGGAGCGGAGTGAAAAAGTCGGCAGAAAACCCAAGGCAATGGAGACGTGTAGCTGAAGCCCTATGTTTCTCTAGGAATTAAAGGATATAATAATAATTATTTATTTATTTATTTATTTTGATTACACCTTGAAGCCACACCGTATTTTCGGTACAAGTATGAAACTTTCAGCATTTGATATCTGTAGCTCAAATTTTGCAGGCCGACCATAGATATCAGGTGTGCGTCGGCAGAGTATCGAACCCCGGATCATGTAAATGGTCGGCGAGAGTCCTAACTACTGTGCCGCCGACGCAAAGGGGGGGGGCTCAGCCGGGAAATTTGGAAGAGTGTATGCAGAGGCGCTTTTTCAGAAAATTCAAACATATTTACTCCCCAGTATGAATTTGAATAAATCAAGAAAAATGGGTTTGTGTAGGATTCCAGATAAACCTCTCAGGATAATTTAGGCAAGGCTTTCATACAATCTCTCCCTTAATTAGATTAAAAAATTTTTTTTAATATAAAAACTTTCTCATATGTATATAAGCTGGAGAAAAGTAGGCGTAATAATTCAAGCGAAATAAAATAATTTCGAGTTATATAGTCGACTTTTCTCTACCTGCCCACAAATTAGGATATATATAAATATATAAGCCTGAACATGTTCATGGAAATGTAATATGCTTGGCTCATTAACTCAACAATAAAAAAGAGTAAATAATAGAGACATATGTATATCAGTGTAGGTATAGAAAAAAATTAAGCAGTAAAATGTATGATAGAATTTCCTTCCTATCCTATAGAGAGTATCAAATTTTCCGTGTAATGTTTAGAAAAAGAGAAAAATAAAAATAAATTTTGGTATTCTAGCTTTTAATTGGCTAAACAAATACTACTAAAATGACAAGAGTCTGTGTTATTCTACTCTTTGCTGTTTTCTCAAATATACACCAGGTGTTTTTAATTCTGGAACTCATTTGTGATTTCTTCCAAATGGTTGATGGTCCTTTTTCTAGAGAGATAATTATGCGATCTTTTCGAATATATGTTCAAATGCATAACAGAGTATTAGGCAATTGAGTCGAATGAGTAGTATAGGTATTCATCACAAACAAACTTAATAGTGAAATTAGTTTCTACCACACAGCATAAAATTCTCGTGAATGGAACTCGGATTCTCATCTGTTGCTTTTGTTCTAAATATTACCGCTCAGTTTGGAGATTTAAAATATGTTTATCAAGTTTTATGTAATAATTCTCTAGGGTGAGTGAGGATGATTGTCAGAATAAATGCTTTGTTTTACTTTCCATAACTATTCAGACTTAAAAGTATTCGCCTGGGCTTTTCAACCGTCATTAATTTTTTTCCGCTTCAGTTCTTTAAAATAGTCAATTTAAATCATTGAAAAGGAAATAAAGAATCTTTTAATCATCAGTTTCATCTTTAGAGATGTGAAATAATGAGATAATTCCACATACTTATTCAATTATGTAATACAAAAGAGTTCAGAAATAATAAAGAAAAATGTGAAAAGTAGTAAGTAGTATACCGTCGGCGGATAATGAATTTAGTTTATTGGCTCTTATCTATTGATCAATTTTGTTTAAAATGTTAAGTAATGCTAAAGATGTCCTTTCTGCCCATTTTAAACAAACGAAATACTTTACAGTTTCTCCCGATTAGTAGTTTCATAGTTAGGCGATTATGTGAGGCGAAAAAGGTGGCGATTGAATTATTACTAAAAGATGAAAGGCTTCGTTGTTCCTTTTCTTTCTTCTGCCTCTCGTAATATACTCAGGTATCTGATTATTTTCAATATTCAATGGCTATGCATAAATATGTAACTGAACAAAATGTTTAAATATCGTACAGGATTCTCGGAGTAATTTATTGCATAATATTTTCTCTTCGTTCAGGATCTTCAAATAAAATAGCAGTCCATAGTACACCATGTGACTCAGTACTGTTCAATCCTCAGCAGGAACCAATCTCTTATGATAATTTACCTCCTTCCTCGAAAAATGCACAGCTGTAGGTTGAAATCTGACTGAAAATTTGAAATGGTACATTTCACGACTCAAGGAAGCAGTTGAATTATCCAAACAATAAGAAGCGAAGAAAATTTGATATATTATGCTGGATGGACAGGGATATCCTGGACCGACGTGAAGAACCTAGAGGACCTGGATTTCGAGCGTGGATGATTTATGTTTGATGTCACACACAAAAAATCGAAGACTTACAATTGAAAACCGACCGACAAACTGGTCGAAGAAGCAGACAGTGAAGATAAGACTCCAGGTGAACATAAACAAGACGGAGGTTATGAAAATAACCAGTCAACCACCAACAACAACAGCAACATCCAGTGCCAATCACCATCAACGGGAGCGATTTGAAAGAGGTTACTTCATTCACCTATCTAGGGAGCATTGTCTCAACTACAGCCAGTCGGAACGGACGAGGATGACAAATCGAGCGAGAATCGGGAAGGCGAGAAACACATCCATCAACCTGAAACCAATTTGGAAATCTTCGGCACTCAGCACCGACAATAAAATTAGGATTCTAACTACAACCTTCAGGTCAATTCTTCTATACGGATCACAAACTTGGCGGGTGGGTCACAAACAATATTTCCAACAGCCTGTTGCTGACCTTTACCAACAACTGTCAACTATCGCTCTATAATGAAGATCAGATGGCCGGGCCAGAAAGAATCACCAACAACAAGAAAATATGGGAACAAACAAAACAAGAACCAATCGTTCAACAACAAATATGCAGGAGAAAGTGGAGATGGATGGATCGGACACTCGCTCGCTGAGGAGGCCGCTGGGTGACATTGCGCGCGCGTCAGGCCACTGCTCGAGTGGAACCAGGCCGAAAGGGAAGCGGCGAGTGGGACGTCAGTGCTATGGTGACATGGAGGAGATCGTGTGAAGAGGATTTGAGACAGTATGGACTAACATGGATGCAGGTGAAAAGTACAGCAGAAGACAGAAGTGGCAAGTGGAGACGTGCAGTTGAAGCCCTATGTTCGACTAGGAACCCAAGAGAACAATAATAATAATAAGTTGGCTGTGAAAAATATGCTGGACATGAATCCCGGACTGATGTCATTAGAAAAAGCCTAGACAAAATGGTCAGCAATGAGTGAGTGAATATTCTTGTAGATAAAGATTATGCAATGACCGGAAAATAGAATAATAGCCTAATTCAAAACCTGAGAATAAAGTACAAGTATCAGGAAGTAAATAAAGATTAGATTAGATATGAATTATCCACTAATCTGATGAATATATGCACTTTAGGGAAGTAAATCCCGCTAAAAATTGATTCAGAAAAATAAAAAGTGAATAATATTCATAGATGAAATAAATTTCTTTTAATTTTTTTTAGTTTTTACTTACTGTAAACCTGTTTTTGGATTTCTCATAGACGCAGTTGAATAGTTTGTATGAGCTCCTGAACCATTCCAATTGCCTTCCATTGGTTTAGGATCTAATGTTACAATCACTCCAAAGTCTTCAGCGACACGATGTAGTATAAATCTAGCCATCCATAAATGATCACCAGCTGAAACACCTTCACATGGTCCAACTTGAAATTCCCACTAAAATATACATTTAAATATCATACACTTTGCAATTATTTATTCATAAATACTTTGAAAAGTGTTTTGTGCAATTAAACATGTAGTTCAGAAGGTAAAGTGTTTATACTAACTGAGATAGGAATTGTTTACAAATCAATGTGCTTTTTCAAGTATTGGTTTTGTAGGGATTTTGTCTGATTACATGGAGGATTTCATCATGAGCTGACATCAATTAGAGAACCACTGGAAAACCTGGGAGTACTGGACATCTGTTTTGTCCTAGTGTGGGACTCTTCAGCATACTGCTAGGTGCATAGTGCTCTTTGGATTATGAACATGATGGAATAGTGTCGAAAGCTCATAATATCTTGACTTGTTAATATTTGGAAAATTTATTCAAACAATTTACACCGTATTATTGGTGTATCATGTGTCGATTTAGGTACAGAGTAGAATTTCAAGATTTACAGAAGGTGTCCTGTAAGAATTCAAGTCCTACAGTATTGATCAGCTAAACACCGCATTATTCAAATGAAATAAAAGCAAGTTTGCAGCTTCTACTATCCAAAACTTATTAGTTAACCCGAAAATTCGTGAAAATAAAATATATTAAGATATACAATTCAATTTTAGATTTTCCCGTCGATTGATTGGACCGAAGTGCTCGGTCTCAGGTTAACATATCGGCTTCCTGTGCATATGCTTAGAAGATGTCTAGTCATGTAATTAGAAGTTAATTGGTGACTAGCAGTGAAATTCAGGATGCGCATTTCTTCCCAAATGGGACTCACCAGCTAAATTGATGTACCAGCATTTCTCAGTGAGTGATGATTTTCCCACCGGGGCTTGAACCCAGTGCCCATAGTTTCAAAGGCCGAAGGGTTATCCACTAGACCACTGAGATCGACGGGAAAATCTAGAACTGAATTATAGAATTAATATGACCCATTACACAAGAGGTGGCTCTCGTGGTCCAAGTGTTCCAGCCGATAATGCTTTGGCGTTTGAAACTATGGGCACTGAGTCTGAGCCCCGGTGGGAACATCATCACTCACTGCGAAATGTAGGTACATCCATTTAGCTGGCGAGTCTCAAGTGGGAAGAAATGCGCATCCTGGATTCCACTGCTAGTCACCATCCACCATTTCAACTTCTAATTACATTAAGATAAGCTTGTTTAGAAAAATTGTATGACTAAATGAATGTAAGATAATCGTAAAATTTTAGCAAGTAACTGGAAATTTCACTGCAACTGATAATACTCGTAAAATTGTATATATATATATATATATATATATATAATAGTAAAAGATCAGGCGCCATGATTATGGATTACTTCAAACATTACTGATCCATATTAGCAGAAAGAGGTGGATAAACAAATGAGCAGGCCAGTGAACGATTTCTAACTCTACTTAATTTACAACTCAGGTATATGTTTATACTGAAACCGCTCTGTTATTGACTAACAATGATTAACAGTAACCGTAAGAGGGTAAAATAATTTATACGCAGGTAGATTGTAGGCTTTTTCATGGATTGGTGTCAATTAGAGAACCACTGAGAGCCGAAGAATACTGGACAGCCGTTCCGTTCCTCCTCTTCAGAACTCTTCACCAGTATGCATCCACAGTCTCATCGCGGATCAAACTCAAGACCTACAGGTTGCTAGTCCAACTTTGCCAATCATTCAGCCACTTGAGCCGGAAATCAGATAGTCCATGAATTCTAAATCCTATTATTCCAAGATCTTACCGTAAACATGGGCGCGGGCTGATAAAGAGACCCAAACTGGGATATCAGTCTATGACCAGACTTGAAACAAATCAAATACTTTGAAAACCAGGGAGTACTGGATAGCTGTTTATCCCAGTTTGGGAATCATCATCAGTACGCACCCACCACCCAAGTTCGAACCCAGGACCTTCCGCTAACAAGGCAAGCTGGCTCGTAGACAATTTAGCCACTGGAATCCGATCCAATGGCCAACTCATGAATTCTAACTTCTACCAATTTGTGATTTTGCGCGACCCCAAGCATTGTCGTAAGTGGAACATCCAGCTGTCCAGTACTCCCTGGTTTCCGATGGTTCTCTAGCTGATATTAATCCCTGATCAACTAGTAAAAACAAAATTAACCCTTACAAACTAAACTAAAGAAAGTCAAATCCTAACAAATTAACGCTTGAAAATAAATGGGTGTATTATTAGATTTTAGTGGACAGTAAAGATTGTGGAAACTTATGAAAATGTTAACATTTCCCTACACTTGTATTCAGTCGTGTGCTTAACAAATCTCTACCTTCAAACACCAAAAGAAACACAAATAGTCAAAAGAAATATGAAAACTGTAGAAACAGTCAGTCTACTTAATATCAAAGTAATAATAACAAAAATAATTGATGTTGAACACACTATCATAATTTTTCAAAGTCCATAGCATATAGAACCCGAAACATGCTACTAGTTCAAGTGGAATTTGAAAATATTTATTTTACAATCTATATTTTACAACTTCAGAGCACAAAGTTAATTCAAACAATGCTTAAATGGCTGCAGCGGTTCTCAACGTAACATTAGGCACAATATTTCACTGAAGTCATCTCATCAAAATATACGTATGATATTTTTCAAAAGTGTATCCCGTTAATAAGCCAAAGTATTCGGTGTACACAATATTATAATAATAACAATGTTAACTACGACAAAAATATTTTATAACAACAGTACCATAGTGAAATATCAAGGGATAATGGATTACGTAATATGATAAATCGACTAGGGAATTAACTAGATTCCAATCCCTTGATAATACTAAATGTCTAAATGGGAAAGCTGAAGAGCAAATGACAGAATCTCTGAGTAAACTAGTAAGAAAGATATAACAATAGATAAAGCCAATGGAGAGAAGCACTTCAATACCTTATGGTCTACATAGAGTGAACAAACAGGGACTGCCATTCATTTTTAAATATGTATAATTCTCCATACAATGGGAAAAATCCTTATTTTGACTTTTAGACCTTTCTTTCAAAGAAATTGTGAGATATGGAATAAATGTTACCTTCAACCTTATCTGTAAGGTAACTCAGACGAGTGTAAATAAAACTCACGCTATCTCTGCATGCATTTTCAATATTCATTAATAAACCACTTGTTGAAACAGTTGATTACGTATAACACCAAATCACTGGAAGGTAAACTGCAAGCGGGATTCTTGAGCATGGCTAGAAGGAATCACTCCTCAGATATGCAAATTTCGTCTTCTAAAATATAAACATCTGACAACAGATGCAATCTGAACGCGCTCACAAGCTTGTTTCTGGGTGAAGTTGATAGCGAACTGTCGAAAGATATCATCAATTATTTGGATAACCTATAATTTACATTTCTAAGAAGGTTATTTGATTTCTAACTGAGTTGGTAACTAGTATGAATGCGTTTCCCCCTTGCTCTTATTAGTTAAGTATTTCGGATTACCAAGTTCAGTAGTGGTTGCCTTATCGCATTTTGAATTACAGAACTCTGTCATCCTGTGGAGGAAATGGAATGGGTGAAGTTTCTTATGCTGGAGACAAGTTACCAACAGTAGAAACTAGTTATTTAACTAAATCATGTATATTTTCAGTGGATGGGTGTTTCCGGTGATCCCTGGCAACACCTGATGAGAAGCGAACAATGATGACTGATTGGTTGGTTGATTGATCGATTTATTCTTATATTTAGACCGGTTACAAGGTTGTAATAAATAGGTGAGAGATTTACACAGTGTTTCTACGTGAATTGCGAATCGATTCAGATTACTGCAGTAGTTAGAACTAGAATACACAAACAAGACTAGCCCACATTGCGTTCTTCGTGTCAGGCATATGACCATCAGTTGACACAAAAACATTCTCACATGATTCATAACACGTATTTTAGCGAGAGGTTTAGGAGATCATAGGAAGTTTGGTGATTTTCGGTAGTTTCATAGTGGTGTCAACTTTTGCCACTATTGCCTCGTTAGGCATTTGGAAGTTTCTGAGGAGGCTATTCTAGTCCACAGTTGCTCTTGAATTTCTTCCTTTTACATGTTTTTAGTGCTTGACTCTAAACCTGAGAGTACGAAAATGATTTGATCAAGTGGATTGTATGAAATATTCATAATGAAACCATTCATAGTGGAATTCTGGGACATTCACTGTACACATTGGCCAACAACGGAACTACAAGTCACTATTGCATTGTACCACTCACCACAATGACAGCTGCACCTTCACTACTCACTAATCAATTGTTCATTCTCATTATATTGTGCTTACTGATGCATTTACTTGTCTTAAATCTAATTAAATTGGACAACTGGGGAGAGTTGATAGCAAATTTATTAGGAGAAATGTTAATGAGTAATGACTGAGTCTAGCTGGAATCTGCCAATTAAGTCCACCGTGGTGAGCTGATTACTATTCTCAGTATAACTCAAATTGTAGAGATGAGATATTTCTTATAGAAAAATTCTTGTGAAGTTATCTGAATACTTTAATTCAGAGTATGACATGCTGTTAGATGGCAGCTAAATGTTTCTGAAACATAGTTTAACCTCAGGCATAAGGTATAATATATTTAAAATTAACCGGTTCCATTACCATCCTAATTATAGTGTCGTATTGGGGGATTGTTGAGGAAGCTACCGACATCTCATTCTTGTGTATGCTTGTAATGAGGTTCACATTTGATTAAAGTCAGCTTCATGGATCATTTTAAGATGAAACACTGATTAGTCAGTAGGATGAATAGAATACCTTGAAGAAAAGGATTCGATTCTCACCTGGGAAGGCATAACTTCTGCATTGCTACCACAGATTTTGACTCCAGCATACATGCATGCTCTGTATAGTGCTTCTGGTATATCACGTCCCAATGCTTTACCAGCTCCAACAGAACAGTAGTAAGGACCTAACAGTAGCAACAACAACAGGAGAAGAAGAAATGACGCATATACAATGAGATATTTTGAGGAAACAGTATCATCATGAAAACTTAGATGTTGTTCACTTGACTGCATATCGCACATTGATGACTTGTATAGGTGGACCGTTTCATTGAGACATTTATTCCGTTTGCGGCCTCAATATTCATTACTTCTCTTTTATACTAAGCTTTCTCTACTTATTTTGACTTTCTCGCCACTTACTTACTGTCAGAAAGTTTCTCACAATGAGCTGATTCACCTTTAGTCGAATTTCCATGATAGTCCATTTCAATTTTTTCAACACAGACTAAACACTGTGCTATATATGAATCTTAACTTTTAACGAATTCATGTAATACAGGTATAAAAAGTAAACTCCTCTGATTTTTGGAAAAATTCTCATACCAATTCTCATATTACCCCTAAGAAAGACGTGTACATCAAGCTACCCTATATGGGGCATCATAGCAGCTTGATGACTAGACAAAGACTGAACGCTGTTGTTAAAAAAAGCTAATATCATAATAATTGAGAAAGTGAAGCCAATACATCTATCTAGGCCCGTCGAAGATGCGAAAAATCATGTCACATTCCAATGTATTTACCAATTTGAATGTACGTGTGGACACACATACATAGGGAGGACTCATCGATCTCTGCAAGTAAAGGCTTCAGAGAATATTCCGAAATGGCTCTAGAAACAAATGGAATCTTCAGAACCTATTAATGGTGAGAACAGGAGACCTGGCTCTTCTGTTGTGGAACATATTATAGAGACAGGACATAAAATTGACGTTAACAGATCTTTTAAACCTATCTATAAAACGTGTTTGGGGCGTATCCTAAAGTTTATGGAGGCCCTAGTCGGTTTAAACCACCTTTATGCGTTCAAAGCAACAATTCGTCATCACATTATACCTTCCTTGGTAAATTTTGTTTTGATACCATAGCAGATGTACTATTACATCTACTATTTGGTTTAGTGGTCTTCATTGTTATTTTGACCTTCAATATGTCCTTTTAACTTGACTTAAGTCTATTTTTCTCACCTCTTAACTCTATTAATTTGATATATATGTACTACTATGATAAGTCCGTGTGTGTGATTAGATTGTTTGAAATGCCTTGCGTCAATACAGCATTACACGATTTAGACCAATTACATCTTATTACTTTATCAAAATTCTCACACTTGTTAAATGGATAACTTTATTTCTAAAATATCCGAGACTAATATGATGTATAAACTCATGTTATCCATGGATGTATCATCATTATTCACTAACATACCACTTATGGATATGAAGTTTTAACTGTTAAAAATAGTTGATCAAAATTTTTCTCGGAAGATTCTGTTTCCGCATACTTGTGCTTCCTTTTATAGATTTTAATGTGATTTATACGAAACAATGATGTCAGAGCTGGGGATTACAATGTAAAGTATTTCGATAGGGAAATGAACATGCACCTCAGTGGGAGGAATTTAGACGCATCGTCTTCATTATAGAGTGTGGTCTGCCTCTAAGGTTTTTACATCTTTTTGAGGTACGTTTTTGAGATGCAGAAGATTTTTGAAGTCGTGAATTCTTAAAACTTCGGTAGAACTTTGTTTTTACTTCCGGCCATAGAATTGGGACTAATCACAGTCTACAAGTTCGACAGATAAATTGTTTACTTTAACAATCAATCTTTCGATTTCCTCTGATATTATACCTCTTTTAAATGTTTATTATTTTCACACTGTATTTTGATTCCTATCTCATTTTATCGACCATCATCCTAAAGTGACACAGGGAATGAGTTGTCTCATTTCATGTTAACTAGAGTTGTTAGACCGTAATCAGCTACCTAAACATTTACTAATGGTAAATAAGCAATAAAATGCCATTGGTGACTAACTTCTGTTCAGTATATATTTTTTTATTCGAATTATCAGATAGTGTAGCCTAAGGAGGAAAAACATAAAAGTCTCTGTCTAGTTTACATTGTCACCGCTCAATTCGCTTATAAAACAGATAATTGGGTTTCAAGTGTTGGTTTGTAGGGACTTGACTGTTTACAGGATTTCGTCATGAGCTGACATCAGTTACAGAACCATTGGAAAACCCACTGGGAGTACTGGACATCTGTTTCATCCTAGTATGGGACTCTTAAGCAGTATGCACCCACCAACACGGTTTGAACCTAGGACCTTCTGTTTACAAAGCGACCATTAAGCCACTGGGAACCGATCCAATGGCTAGCCCATGAATTCTAACTTCTGCCAATTCACGACTTAGCGCGACCCTTAGCCAATGTCTTCTGCAAGTATTTGTCCTCACACCCGACTTGCTGCACCCTACTTGTCACTACTTGGGGTTCTATTCTGGGTTCTATACTGTTCAGATTAATTGACCATAGTTTTTCAATAAGTATTCCAGTAGAATGATACTCTTAACTAGTGATAAGTATGAGACAGTGCGAAGTGATCTGAGGTGATCTTGGATACTTGAAATGGCCACTTCCTTCATCAAGTTTTATTTTCACAATCATATTACTTACCTCTGCGAGAGGTTTTAATGACTTAACTTCTTATCATCCACCTACAGTCGACATTCTTCATATAACACTATCAGGAAGTATTTTCATCCAACACCTTGAAGTTGTATGGCTTTCTTCAGTGTCACATTGTAAAACGTCTCCGTTTTTGCAACTAGTGTGACGAATGATAAGCTTAAAAATCCGATTTTCTCACTTGTTATGTGCGGGCGTGTAAACAGGTGGAGAAGAAGAAGTAGAAGAGGTATGAGGAGATTCGATTTGATACAAAAGTATGACTTAGTGTGTGTTTGTATGTAATGCGCTATAATGCTTCCTTTTTACTCTGTATGACATATCTAGCTAAACAACTAATAAGAGACAGTTAACACTAAGACTTCATATATTTCTGCTATTTGATATAATAGGAAGAAGTAATAACAATAATTTGAGCAGAATAATGCGACACCCTCGTATTTTATCTGTTCTTCTCAACTATGTACATACCTAAGGTTATTCTACTATCAAAGTATACCAGACAACATTCGTGCACTTTAAATGAATCACCTGAAGAATTGAATGGATATTAGGGATACGAGATGTTATCAGGCTTGTTTGATATACACATCGATGAACTAAATGGGCATTTTAAAGCTACACAAATACGAAGTTACATAAGAATAGTTTTTTACTCTTTACGTTCCCAGTGGAATATAGGGCTTCAAGCCAGAGGCTAGCCTCATTCTCATCCCTCCCTCTTTACTGGCCTTATTACTAGCTTAGCGAGGTAAAGGCATGCGTCGGCCAGGGATCGAATCCCGGACCACATGAGACGCGGTTTATGAGCATTCTACCACTGAGCCACAGACGCACGCCTTACATAGGAATAGTAGAAGTTGAATAACTCAAAGAAACTAAAGCGAGATAAGGAAAAATAAAGCAATGATTTCAAGTGAACAGACTAAAAATGAACAATTAAGAGTAAAATGATAATATTGTAAATAAAGGAATAATTAAAAACAGTGGAATAGTGAATCATTGTTTGTATTCTGATACATAGATAGTATTATAAAGTGTTGGTTTGAAGGGATTGGATTGGTTACAGGTTCTGTCACAAGATAACACCAGCTAGTGAACTACTGAAAAACCAGAGAGTATCTAAAACCTGCAATGGCTTTTTCTGTAACTCTTCAAAAGTCTGCGCCCATCAGGACTCTAGTCAAGGACTTTCCTTCTACGAGGCAAATTCATACACCATTGAGCCCCTGGAATTCATGAATTACAACTTCTGCCAATTCGTGAAATATAGCGCAGCCGCAAGCTAGTATCATAGACAAGTAACTGTTGTCTTACCTGACTTGGTGGACCGCGCTAGTCACGACTTCTTATTAGAACCCCAGTTAATCTTCGATTTCATTTTTTATGAAATGGCTAAGAAGAATGAAACGGAATGATTTGCAATTAATAGTGTTCTCTGAGCTAGTTGGTTTAGTTACGGAGCTTTCGTCGTCCACCTTCTGGACAACATCTTCAGCGCAGTATTTAGCATAAAGTAAAATGATTTAAATTTCTTCGTGAGTGATATAATTGCGTCTCCCAGTAACCATCTTTAGATATGTATTAACCGTTTTCTATTGACTTGGATTTTAAACTTTCTGGTCACCTGATTTACTTTTTCATTAGTTGGTATATTTCGTTTATATTAACGTGTTTGTCAATTGCATTTTCGTTTCACTACCAGGCTTCTAGGAATTCCCTAGCACTTTTGGTGTTTCCTCTGTCCAAGATTTTGACATTATCCCAATCAAATTGATGTCCATAACTATCTGTATGCATTGATACTAAAGAATTTATATCATGTCTTTTCATGGCTGATTTGTGTTCTTAGATTCTAATTCGAAGGGGACGCCCGCTTTGGCCGATGTAATGCTTGTTACAGTTCATACAATTTATTTTGTAAATGGTGATAATTTTATCCCTTTTTTCTGTTGGATCTTTTGGTTTGCAAAAGATCGAATTAAGCGATTCTCTATTATTTTGAAACGGAATGATATTTAGTCTTCCAGCTCAAATGACTGTTCTTACTTCATTCAGTACCGACACTGATCAGCATGAGAAACAAGTTAATCGAACTAAAATCACTCCTTTAATCAGTACTGATGAAAATAACTATTCGAAAAATTAAATCTTTTTAATTTGATTTTGATTACATTATACGTTTCCACACCGTAGGTGTTACGAATTTCCTGGAATAATTTGAGCACCGAGTCAGATTGATTCATTATAAATTGTTTAAATTAATCCCAGCGTGTTAAGAAAATCAAAACAAGATTTTTCTGAACGTTTCGCCGTGTAAGCCACAGCTTCTTCAGCAGATTTATTCGGGTAAATCTGCTGAAGAAGCTGTGGCTTACACGGCGAAACGTTCAGAAAAATCTTGTTTTGATTTTCTTAACACACTGGGATTAATTTAAATAATTTATAATGATTTTGATTACAGCTTGATGCCACACCGTATTTTCGGTACAAGTATAGAATTTTCAGCATGTGATATCGGTAGCCCAAATTTTGCAGGCCGACCATAGATATCAAATGTGCGTCGGCAGGGGATCGAACCCTGGACCATTTGCATGGTCGGCGAGAGTCCTAACCACTGTGCCACTGAGAAAAAAAACAACTATGAAAGGTGTTAAATGCATATCCCTTCACTCTTAAATTCAAAAGCAAACTTATGATTATTTGAATACTTGTGAAAAACACTCACCTTGTGGTGGTGGGAAACCATTTTTAGGCCATTGTAATGGGTAGCCATCAATATCTAAAAGAGCATACTCCTGTTCAATACCAAACCATGGTTGATGAACTTTTGCCTTCTCCATGACTAGATTACACTGGTGACGATGATTTGACACTGAAAAAACGACCATAAAATGAAAAAAAAAAATAAATTCATGCAATTCTTTACCTTGGTGGACTTGACCTGTCCAAATAAATAATGTATCGAGTACTGTTGTAATTACATGCACACACAACAATATACTCAACAGTGCCTTAGTGAAAGGCAAGGCGATGGTTTAAGGTCTTGGTAGAAGCAACTTTGTTAGAGAACTGACATAATTTTCGCATCAAAAGTTATGTGAATTTAGGATTTTTGTACATTCCAAGTGATATCACATGACAGGCCCTCCAGTGGAACCCGGATGGGAAGCGGTGAGTTGGCCATCCAAGGGTGACATGGAGCAGGTCATGTGAAGAGAAGATAAAAGCAATTAGGGCACACGTGGAGCCAGATGAAAAGAGTGGCAGAGAATCGAACGCGACTTAAGCCCTATGTTCCTCTAGGAACCAAAGGAAACAATAATAATGATAATAAGTAATTTAGCTCAGAAATCCAGTTCCGCTCATTGAACAGAATGTCGTTATTGCAAAGTAACAACACCACTTGAGCAATATGACTGATGTTATGCACAAAGTTTTACACTGATACATGACTATTTGTTAGATGATCTTTGAAAGTGTGCAACGACTATCAGCAGTTTAAAATTTCACTGAAAATTCAAGAAAATGATCACTGAAGCGCAGATTTCAGCGGTCTAAAAAAGATCCTAGTTAGACGTGATTTCACTGGTAGTCAATATCAAATAATATTCATATTCCTACATAACAGACTGTTATACGTTGAATAAATTAATCATTGTGTTTTTTATAAATTGATGCGTAATCAGAGTCACGACTATCTCCTTTTGTACACAGAGACATGGTTTATAAACTCGAATTTCACAAGCCTCTGCAATTGCAAGCATCTTCTTGTTTGTTTGTCTGATGACAACAGTGAATGACTTGACAGCGTCGATATCATGTCCGTAGTCCACAAGATGTTTTGTTATTGAGGATTTTGGCACTTTGCACTCAGCTGTTTTCAACCATTTTGGCAAATGCTACATCATACCAAAATGGTTGAAAACAGCTGAGTGCAAAGTGCCAAAATCCTCAATAACAAAACATCTTGTGGACTACGGACATGATATCGACGCTGTCAAGTCATTCACTGTTGTCATCAGACAAACAAACAAGAAGATGCTTGCAATTGCAGAGGCTTGTGAAATTCGAGTTTATAAACCACGTCTCTGTGTACAAAAGGAGATAGTTGTGACTCTGAATCTACCATGGTAATACGTTTTACTCATTATTCTACCTATTATTATTATTATTCCAGATTCATTTAAAACTATCCTTTATCAGTAGCATTATCTTAACTCACTTCAACACTATTATTATTATTGTTATTATAACTATTACTATTGATATTAATCTGTTTGCAATTCTCGTTATATTCCCTAATGACGATTTGTTTGTCTAAGTGATGTAGTTGAAGCTTAATGCAATTTATCTTAATTTTGATCTCTCATACTCTCTCTCGCCTTATCTATTTGAACATGACCTGGAAAACATTCGCACGTGTCTTTCTGCATGATTAATTCAGTGTAGTTTATTTACTTATCAGTCTTATATCTCCCAATGTAATTTCAAAGGTTTATATATCCGTCTATGTAGAGTATTCAGCAGCTGACGAGTTCTACCGAAATTTGATGAATTCATTAAATCCTGCTTTATTAACATTTATTGCTTGCTTTAAGTTCGTATCGGGAAATAAATGTTTTCAATCAACCAGTTGCATGTAACACTGAAATTGTTGTAAACAAAAACGTGAAGAATAGTATTATAAAAGAAAAATATGAAAAGGATACACCCACAGATGGCGTAAACAAATGATGTACTGAACAAACAAGATGAAAACGGTAAGACAATGAAAAAAACATGTGTCACATGTTTGATGATAAAATCAAATTATAATGTTGAAACAACAATGAAGCATTTTCAAATAAAGCATAGTAAGCTATTACATTTTTTTTAGTACTCATATGTGTGACGTATATTTGTGCCACTTGAGTGCATATCGGATCGTCTGAGGAACAACCAACTAACTAGCTAACTAACTAACTACTTCCAATTCATTAAGAACACAAATCGGATGAGGTTTGCACCCAATATGGTGATAATGAATTGACAATTAAAAAACCTCTTATTCACATGAACATTATGTGAAATGCTTGGCAGTCAGAGTGAAATTAACACGAAGTCACACGATCTCATCATGCGCTGACATGGGTTAAAGAACCAGTGGGAAACCTAACTACCTTATTCAGATAGGTAGTTACCTGAGTTCTAGTGAGAAGCAGTGACCAGTGTGGTGAAGCAGGTCGGGCGTGAGGACAAATACTGGCCACCGATGACATTGGCTGGTGCCAGTCGCGTTATATTGTGAATCAGCAGAACTCATGGGAAATAGGTCCCAAAGGTCCCGGGTTCGAACTCCAATGGCAGTTTCCTAGCCAGGACGAATCAGCTGTCCAGTACTCCCAGTTGGTTTCCCAATGATTCACTAACCGATATCGACTCATGATGAAGTCCTGTGATCAATCACATTTCTGCAAACCAGCACTTCGATAATACGGAATCAGTGCAGCGTTGAGTGACGCGAGTTCGAATCTCAGAATGGACATGAGTTCCTTCAGGATTGCAGATACGCCTTGCTGACTGATACGTGCCAACGTAACCTAAGTCCAAGGCTTCCTGTGGCCGATTGCTTCCAACCATCTAGTATCATCAAATACGGGGTTAGTTGGTAAGTCTGCTTGGTAAAACGCTAGACTAGCAATTAGAGGTCAGTAATTTGAAGTGGACTGTAACTCAGGTTTTAATTTCAGTCTGAATCAATTCTACAGTCGTCTACTCTGTAGATCCTTCAAAGGCAAGCTGTCAGTAGTTTTAATATATAAAGCAGTTCAAACTGAAAGAGCACTGTATAATACGTAAAAGGAGTCATTGGCACTTAATGCTTAACACAAAATATCTCAAACTTATTTCCAGGCTTACAGTTATTTGTATTAAAAATGAATTAAAGTGTCAACTGCCCATGAGAATTTCTGCTTGATGTCGTCGGAAATAACCGAATAGTTTAAAACGTCATGTTTTTAGCATTCATATCAATTAAACTAATACATAAGTAACTACGAGTTCCAATTTAGTTTGAAGATAGTAAGTTCAGTGGAATACTGACAAGAAGATAAGTTCTGTAGAAGATGGCAACATTCAGAAATTACACCACAAGAAGAGAACATGAAAATTATGATAGAATCTAATCTTATTTCCATGATATAGCATAGAGTGGTGTAGTGTTATATCCTGAATCATACTTCTAGCGCTATTTACTGCTGACGATCACATCAGTCATACTATCGAGTAGATGATACTGTCACTCTAAGCCACTCTGAAACACTCAGTGCTCCAGTAGATCGATTTCTCCCATTCGACGCATTTGACATTAGAGTGTCATGACAATTGGTTACTACAATTTATTCAGTATTCACAACTTATCAGCTATTTTGATTACTGTTCGACAACCAATTCCTAAACAGGATATTTTTTTATGAATCTGTAAAATAAGGGTTATTCATTTTACACTCATTAATTTGCTTGAATTTCTTGGTGTAGGTCACTGTTCAAAATAGACAGTTGTACAATTATTTTGTTTGGCGCTAGCGGAGAGCAGCAATTTAAATGTTCAGAATTTGATATATTTATAACGTGGTCTTACCATTCGACTTGGGGACAGAAAAAACTCTTCTCATCTCACATTTATAGACCATATGGCTGACTACAACTAAATCCTAGAATTTAATTGGTGGATGGTGACTAGCAGTGGGATCCAGGATGCGCATTTCGTCCTAGTTGGGACTCGTCATCTGGATGTACCTGAATTTTGCAGTGAGTACATCCAGACGACAAGTCCCAACTAAGACGAAATGCGCATCCTGGATTCCACTGCTAGCCACCATCCACCAATTGTGTACTAATTAAATACCCAGACATCGTCGAAGCATCTGCATAAGAAGCCGACATGTCAACCTGAGACCGAGCACTTCAGTCCAATCAATCGACGGAAAAATCTAGAATTCAATTAAATTAGAACTAAAACCGTCAGGATTATGACCTGAGACCTATTCGGCTTCAATTATTTCACCAGATCTTATGGAAGGAAACTGCTTAGTAGTCTGACTTCAGCTTAGCACAATAATTCAGCAACTTTTCAAGGTTGTATAGATAGTATATAATTTATAATTATAAAGTGATTTCTGGAGTTAAAGTGTTTATATTCACCTTTGTGTTAGGCTATTTAAATCCCATGGGGACATTCCGTTTTACTACAATGCTTGTCTGACTAGAACTCACAGTTAACAGTCCACAGATGAGAAGAAATTACTACTTAGTATTTTTCAATGATTGATAAATTCAATTCTTCTTAAAACTTTATAAAAAGGATACGTAGTTTCATCACATTTCAATTAAGTATAAATAGGAATAAAAAGGTTTTAACCTCAAATTAGTGCTTGGCGAATGTGTCATCAAAAACAATTCGAACGTCTTTTTGTAGACTTTCATCGGCAGATTTCTTCCTTTCATACTGAAGATCAGATGGCCAATCAGAAAAGATAGGCAACAAGCAACTCTGAGGACGAACCTACAAACAATCTACTGCTCAATAAATATGCCGAAGAAAATGGAGATGGATTGGACAAACTCTTCGAAGACCATTGATTGAATCCAGGCTCCAAGCAGTAGCAAAATGTGGAACTTGAATTAGAAACGATCAATTAGATGTTTGTCCAAGGGTGGCAATGGGAGAGATGAGAGCTTGTGGAAAGTTGTGGAGCAGCCAGCTCAAGAGGATTGTTGAAAAAAGAGAGTGAAATGGAGATGTGCTGTCGAAGCCTCATGATCCACTCAGAATCCAAGGGAATACTAATAATGCATACCATGTACAGAATGAATAAAATACAGAACTTTCACTTCAGTAATTCGAATCATATTAACTGAACAGTTATACTCCAGATTTTGCCTTTATTCACTAATATAATAGAATCAAGTTTAAGTTCTTTTTTTTCATTACGTCACTTTGAAATGTTTGTAATATCTTTCTTTCTTAATGTCTGTTTTTAATTTAATATGCAATTTCAAACGATGACCTTTGAAATCACTTACAAAGGAATTCATGCAGACTGACTAGCAGTAGTTTTTGACGTGTAGTATGTACTTTTTTTTAAAGAAAAACCTACAGAATGAAAGAGTCTTCTTTCAAGTGTTATTTATTGACCAATAATTGTTTCTATAATAGAATAATGAACTATAGTCAGCCTTTTGAAGGTCAGTAATACAACGATAATTAAATCACGTCAGGCGATTATGTAAGTCACTTCAGAAAATAATAATAATTATTATTATTGCTGTTATTATAAAATAGCAAAAATGTAAAGTGGATAGATAAATACATTAAATTCACTGTAAATTGGTCACAAGGAAGTAAATATGCGTGGGAAAATTAATTTGTTTATATGTTTATATTATAATAAAGAAAGCAAACAAAGCACCGCACTATCCGCATGATAGATTGTATGTCATCTGACATTCACTTAGTTTTGCTTCTATGATAGAACAATAATAATTACAAGATCGGCAGAAGAAGTAAACATTCTTTTTACTGTTGTGTCGATAAAATGACCGATAATAATGAAGATATTCAAACTAATATGCTGTAATCATTTTTGGTTGGAGGATTTCATTATGAGATGACATCACTTAGAGAACCATTGGAAAACCGACTGGTAGTACTGGAAAGCTGTTTTGACCGAGTTTCAGATTCTTCCCTGTACGCACCCACCAGCTAGGGGTCGAACACAGGACATTCTGGTTACAAGACTAGCGAGCCCTTAGACCATTAAGCCAATGGGACCCGATCCGATGGCTAGTCCATGAATTCTAACTTCTGACAATTCATGACATAGCGCGACCACTTCGCACTGTCCTCTTCTTCGATGAACTAATGCTTCACCTTCAACCTGCTGTACTCTACTGGTCATGGCTTCCCACTAGAACCCTAGGTCACTGCCTGAATAGGGCCGTGACCAGTAGAGTACAGCAGGTTGAAGGTGAAGCAGTAGCTCATCGAAGAAGAGGACAGTGCGAAGTGGTCGCGCTATGTCATGAATTGACAGAAGTTAGAATTCATGGACTAGCCATTGGATCGGGTTTCAGTGGCTTAATGGTCTACGAGCCCGCTAGTCTTGTAACCAGAATGTCCTGGGTTCGAACCCCAGCCGGTGGGTATGTACTGTGAAGAGTCCCTAACTAGGACGGAACAGCTTTCCAGTACTCCCCGTTGGTTCTCCAACAGTTCTCTAACTGATGTCAGCTCATGATGAAATCTTCCAAACTATCAAACTAAATTTCTACAAAAAAAACAATACTTGTAATCATTTTTCTCGCCAACTTTGTAGTTATTCATTGTTTTACACGTGAAACCTTCATTGTTATTATTACCACTATCATTACGAAGTGTTATAAGAGAGTCAACAATTACCAACACTTGTTAGAATGTAATGTAGATGATTTCTAGATTGTTCAGTGGAAAAGTCTTGATCGATAGAATTTAGTATAAAATTGTAAAGACATAAGAAAATGATTCGAATTTATCAATATTTTCCTCCATGTGAAACACTGCTTTCACAGATGCTTGTATCTTGAATTGTCTGTTAACACTAAATGTAGTCAGCCAGTGACGAAATTCATGACTACTGCTATAACCTTTAGTCTTACTTACAATCATTACTAAGTGTTGTGTGAAGAAAATTATGCAGCTAACAGACATACGGTGAAGACTTCCTTTTCAGAAATTTACTATGACTAAAAGAAAAAAAGGATTTTGATTTCGAGTTTTTCTTCATGTATCGCTAGAAATTCGAATATACATAACTGGGTAAAAAGTAAACTTTTGGAATGGTTGGATTTGGTCTTGTAGATAACTTTAAGGGATAAATCGCATAGGAGTTAATAGTGTGATTCAAGAAAGGGTTCATAGATGGAAGACTTTCTCATTCTATACTCATCTTTCATCAACCAGATGAGATAGCGTTGAACTACGCGTTTCCTGAGAACACGCTTACAATAGTCAATGTAATCAGATCCACAAGAGCATATCAAAGAGTAGACGCACATAGAATCCTACATACTTCGGCGGGAGAACACTAACTAATAATTATCCTTATTCTTATCATATGCATATTGATAAAGAAATGAAAATAATTATTTCTTCTCTGAGAGAAACCCGTGCTATTCCTTATGAATAAATGAATGTATTTCATGGTTATATGACAGTAAATACATCGTAATACTACACTAATGCAGGTAAAATTAATTAATCTATTCTTACCATGTGGTTTTTTATCATAATTATACGTTTCACACAAGACTAATTTATTTTTCCCACCCCGAAATGGATCACGAAACAATGCGCATGGTTTTAGATAAACATCAGAATTGGAACCTTCAGCTTGACCTGTACTACTCCCGTCGAAATTCCACATTGGACAATCTATTTTTTCAAAAATAAAAAGAATAAATATGAAAACGAATACATTGGAAAGCAAGAGTAAAACAACTCCATACTACTTTGTAATATTTATTACATCATATAACAGAATACTGAAAAATGGACTGTTTCTACATGAGTCAGGCATCATATTTTAAAGCAATCAGAACCTCATCGTTGTTTTTTCATTCTCTTACGTTCCTAGTGGAACAAGGAGCTTCCAGCTTCGGAGTTTGAGCAGCTTTGGCGTTGTTTTCACAGGATGAGGTTGCTAGCCTTACATCGAACATTCCCCCCCTTTTTCCTGACCTACTATAGACGAGTAAACTAGACGAGGGACAGGAATGCGTCGATCGCAAGTCAAACTCATACCCACGTACGTGGCTGATGAGCATTCTACGATTGCACTACCAATTGTAATTATAATTACAAAAGGTTAAGTAAAAAGACACAGACAAAGGGGAAAGTTAAGATATCGCCTTGAGTATATTCATACATATATATTCAACACCTAAGTAAACACGATTTATTTATAGGTCAAAAAAACTGATTGATTTTGACTTCAGGAAGACTACCACGACACACACCCCTAACTTTGGCTATCGTAGTGAATAGATTAACAGGCAGTTACTTCATTAAAATGTAACAGTCAACATTTTCCAACTATTAACGCGTGCTATACTTGTAAAAATATCTCAAGTATGTATACTTCTTTAACAAATTATTGGTCAGTAAAGTAGTTGACCAACCAATATATCACTTAAGTTAACTGAAGAGTAATAGTTAATCAATCAATTCGAAGTGAATTGTTGAAATGGAATCTTATCTTCATTTACTAAATTCTTTTTTATAAAGTAATCTGACTTGAGAAATGGAGTTGTTGAAACTTTCATAAATCATTATCGCCATACAAATAAACAAAATGAATCATACTGCTAGATAACTTATTCATGCCCATAAGCCCGAGAGAGAAGATAGACAGTTTAATATCTTTTCTACTTGGCCATATTTCTAAATCCTCAGTCGTCCTAATTAATTTTCCTAATAATGTTATCATTGATTCTGTTATAGTACACACCACAGTACACTTAACTACCTCGTTTTAGTGAGCTGCGTCTCTCCAATCAGTGAAACACTAAATGGACAACTATTTTAGCTCAACGATTACATAATTCTTAATAATCCATACTTGAGTATTTTACAAAGTAATCTACACAGATCATATGACAACAGCGGAATAAAGAAGTTAATTTTGCATTTCCTGTGGACTGATTGATAGACTGATTATGTTTAACCAAAATGTTCTATCTTTGTTCACATAACGTTCGAAACGATAGGTGCTGGATTTGAATCCCAATGGGGACACCACCACTCACTGCGGAATGTTGGTACATCCATCTGATGAGTCCCAAATACGACAAAAAGAGCATCCTGGAGTCCAATACTAGTTACCATTCAACAAACAGCTCGAATATGTACTTTGCAACTAAAGTATGTTGGCAAAATATAGAAAGAAAAACAATATTTTATGTACTAACCCAACCAAAGTTAGACATATTTCACTGTGACTTATCCGCGATTCGGTAATACGGATTAAGCATATTTGGTATCATTTTTTTAAAAATTGTCTGCATAGTGACAGTTAAAGTAAGTGATCTGGTTTGCTTCAGACAAATACAAAGACGTTGGATATTACTTATACCTGTCAGAAACAATTAGGTAGGCTAGGCTTAGATTAACACAGTAGACCTCTGGGCAAATACATTATACATGACCGAACATTTCCTATACTACATTTCTGTGCTGAATACAAAAGAGGTAGAAAATAGAGATACATAATACTACTTTACAAGAATACTGACTGTTAATTTTAGTACAAAGAATAAGAATTAGTCTGTCTGGTTTCATTTGTGCAGACAAAGATTCTACACGACATGACCGAAAAAATAAGCTCAGAATGCTAAATACAAGTTGTTATTCTTGAATGGTTGATCACTATTCATTTCTTATCTCAGCCCTATTCTCATACATCTAAATTTTAATCTTTATATCATGATGAAGTTGTGTTCTTTTTCAACAAAAATAATCATTAACAGTTGCGTGTATCTTAAATGAGCAGCGGACAGATAGCTGGTGGTAAGAGAAAAAGTCAGAACTTTCCACCTCTTACATTTAATCCCTATTTTATACATTTATATATTTAATTCCGAGTTGAATATACGACTTCAAACTTGATCGTTGAAGTTTCAGAAGCACTGGTGTTATTCTTCTTTTCTTTTTACAGGGTGTGGTTGCTAACCTCACGTCCAGCCTTCCATCGTTACAAGGCTTACCTACCAGCTAAGCGAAGTGTAGGAGTATGTTGGCTGGGGATTGAACCGCATATCGACAAACTATCGACTCACCGTCTGATCGATCATTAAGTCAACTCTAATAACAACAGTGTTTCACATATTAAACAGCTTCTTTAATTCACTATATAGGATTATTCTGGATGAAATAAGTACACAAATTTCAAGATTACATTTAACTTACCGTCTGGTTTTTCTGGTTCATGCTCCATTGTCATTGTTTTACAGCGTAGATTCTCTCCACTTCCATCTATCCATACATACATCACTTGGATTTTGTCTTCTGGTTGCGGTAAATCATAATATTTAGCAAGTAGTGTTTTGCTATCATACGGTGAACGTGAGGTAAGTGGCATTTCACAAAAAGAATATTTTAGATTATGAACTATGTGAATTTGTGAATTAGGAACAAATTATTTTGTTATTTGGTTGAAAATAAGGCTAGCTTATATAGTTTATACACAGAATCGTGAAGACGTAAACCGAAATCGAGGATAATATATTATTGGTTCTAAATTTACATGCAATTGATTTAGAAATTTCAAGGTCGTATAAATGACTGGTTAGTATCAAGGTTACTAGGCAGAAATAATTCTAACCCCCTCTTTGTACAATCTTTTTCTTCCTTTGTCTAGCTTTCGTAATAATACAGAAATGAATTCAAATATTATAATGAAGATCGTAGAAAGTATGTTTGTATATCAACTGCATAGAATTATTTTTTTTTTGTTTCTTATCACACTTATCACATGAAATAATAATTATTGAAGAAGCTTTTAACATTTGCATGATCTGTAGAGATTTCAGTGGAAAAGTCGAAAATTGGCTGATATGTGAGTAACAATAAGCTCTGAGACACTCTCATATCATGATCTCTCTGATAAATGCTTTTTAAGCCCTTAAAGAGACAAAATACGATATCGTTGAACTAGGCAATTAATTTTCCTTTTGCATATTGTATGAGCTTATTATTGCTAACTTCCATCCACTTGATACTGCCGTTGTAACTTCATTCATTTCACCATATTTCAACTCCAAACAGAATTAATTCCATTTTTTAAGGATCTATCTATCTATATTTGGTTCCTTAAAATTAGTCATTTATCGGTTACTTGTTTACGGCTGCTATGATAACAACTTTTTTGAGCAGAACTACATTTATAGCCGGTAGTTATAACTGTCTGGTGAGACACAAGTCGAAACGAAGACTGATAAAACCAAAGTTTGTAATGATTCACAAATTTATTATCATTATTATTCCTTTGGGTTCCAAGTAGATCATAGTCCTTGAGCAGCAGATCTCTATATAGTCCTATCCTTTGCAGTCCACTTCATCTGACCCCTTGATTGCCTACGAGCTTTCATCTCTCCCTTGCACGCCCAACTCATCGTTTCCCAATGAGACTCCACTCGAGAGATGGCCTGGCGTGTGGTCTCTGTTTTCTCCAAAATATCTGTTAAGCAGTAGGTTCTTGGTTGGTTCCTTCCCAGAGTTCCTTGCTGCTAATTCTTTCTTGCCAACCATACTATCTTAATTGTGAAGCCTGCGAAAGGAGCTCGGATAAAAATTAGAAGCTACCAGCTGGAAAGGCTTTCCGTGACATGCCAAGTTTCTGACCCATATTGAAGAACTGACCGACTTAAAACCGGTGCTAAAAATTAGAATTTTGTTCCTTACGCTGAGTGCAGAGGAATTTCAAACTGATTTTAGAGTGTTAAGGTCTGCCTTCCCTAACTGATCCTGCTTTTGACATTCTTATCCGCGCTGTTGCATATAGTTGAAACGATGCTGTCTAGATAAGCGAAGTAAATAACCCCTTTCAAATTTATTCCGTTGATAGTGATTAGTACTTTTTGTTGTTTAGTTATTTTCTCCACCTCCGTTTACTCTCTATTTATTTGAAATCCTGTCTTTGCTACTTTTTCTGTCAACTTGTCAATTTTCTCCTGTAGATCTCCAAATTTATGTGACGTTGGACATAAATTGTGACGCGCTAAATGATGTCTCTGATTTTGCCCTTGCGGTGTAGTTTTTTCCTTCAGTTTCTGAGCGTTGAACTTTGACCGTGGTCGATCTCCAGCTATTTTGAAGATATTCAGCTTAACACGGATGGGTTCTTGCACCAGGTAAATGTCTGGGCCCACACCTCTTCCTCTTCTTGAATTTTTATCCAGCAGACGGCGTCTCCACTTTCCTCAGCACTGTTGAGATGTAGTCTCTCTGTTTTTTGATGTGTCCGTCAGGTGAAATTTATATCTCCTTGTGTTTGTATACGCTACCGCCGATCACCAAATCATTAATCTACAAAGAGTCCTCCATTCTCATTCATTTCACCGAACACCTGATGACTCATGATAGGCACTTTTCCTGTGTTGTCTGCTCTCAGTTTGGCTGGGATTCATAACTCCCGAAAGGATTCTGATGCCTCTATTTGGGACGTCGTGCATTACCGTTTGCAGTAGTCTACAGAAATCTGCCTGCTTCTGTTGTTCTGTGTTGTGTGTAGATGCCTAGCATTGGATAATTGTGACCTTTCTTCCTTTTGAGTTGAATCTTGCTATTATAATCATGAATGAAATGGGATTTCACTGGTGACATTATTATAGCCATTCACTGCGTCAGTGTAATTGTGGTCTTCGTCTGAGTGACCAGACCGGAATAGATTGTTGACTCTCCAGTTGACAAGCTAAATAGTTCACATCTATTTCATCTGCTCTCACAGATTCCGAGCACTTCTATGTCATATCTTTTCATTTCTTTGACTACCTGGACATCCTTCCAAGCTTCACATACTGTACGAAAATTCCACGTGTCCATTCTTAATCTTGCTTTCATCGACAGAAAATACATCGGCCGGTTGACTGTCTTTCCGAAAGCTTCCAACAGGCAGCATCATTCCATTTCTCTACGGCTCCAGCAAAGAATAAGTCCGTTTTTTGTATTTTTGTTGTGGTATGAATTTTCTTGAGTGATTGAATTCGTTTTCCGGGGTAGATCTGCTAGCCACACGCCCAACCTTTCCTCCGTTTCCCGGTCTCAGGACTAGCTATAAAATTAGCGAACTGGTAAACTAGGAGAGGTTAATAATTCAAAAATGGAGCGGTTTAGATAAATAAGCATAGTTTATTCCGTGAGTGATTGCCTCACTGTCAGGCTGCTTACCGGTTACGCATATGGTCTTAGGCTGATTCCATCCTTGGCAGTTAACTGCCTGATAGATGCTAAGCCCGCGAAATACTTGGAGGTTGAGCATGCCGCTAATACCCTCATCATGCAAATAAAAAGACTATCATTACTAAAACTTAAAAAACTTGAAGTCTCGTATTGTACTCATATAACGAAAGGAATGAAAAAGATAATTCATTTTGAAAACAGTCGCGCTCAGTTAAACATAAAAAATTTTTGCTGTGTAAAAAAGCTTATACATTTGTCAAAATTTCAAATGATGTAAGTATAAATGTTTACATTTCATGACTTTAATTACCGCCAAACAAATGGTATTTACGATGACTTCATAGTTCATTGACCGACAGAGTTCAACATGCATCAAAACTAAGGACTAGTGATATGATGCTGATTGCTCCAAATGACAAATGAATATGATCAATACAGTCACACTGGACGTCAGTCATCAACCCAAATAACCTGGTGGGAACCTCTTTGTCTGAATTAATAAATAACATGGGTTAGAGTCTCAAAGTGAAAATCAATCCCCTCAAATTTGCAGATAAACCTTGCTGACAACTGCCAAGATGCACGAAATCTATGGCTTCCTACTGACTGTCCGCAACCATCTATAATTTGCTACTGTGTTTTTTTTTTATTATATTTCGATAAATTAACGTTGTATTTGCTAGACTATCCATGAGCATGAAGTCGAACTTGAACTAGAATTCATAAACTATAACTTCTGTAACCAAGCAAAGTGGTGGATAGTGTAAACTCCCAGCACTCCAACTATCAAATCTGGAGTAATAAACTTGAAGATCATGTAAACTGGTGAAATCAGTGTATGAAAACTGTAAATTATTCATAGGTAATTAAACAGATAACCAAACACTGATAGAAAAGGTTAAGAGGAAAGCTGGAAAACGGATAACTAGTAAAAGAGAAGTCAGTTCTTCTATATGGGACAGAAAATTGGCGAAGGCGTCACGAAAAGCATTTCCAACAGGTTACAGACTTTTATCAACAGCTGCCTTCTCTGGCTTCATACTAGAGATCACATGGACGATCAGAAAATATTAGCGACAAAGAACTCTGGGAAAAACCTAAAGAAGAATCGATTGCTCAGCAAATATGAAGGAAAAAATGCAGATGTACTTGGCACGCTCTGAGAAGACCGTCGAATGACATGTTACGTCAGACCATTGCTTGAGTGAAACCCGGATTGGGGACAGCTGAGTGAGTCATCTGGGAGTGACATGGAAGTAATCGTGAGAGGAGATGAGAGATTATGGAAAGTCTTGAGCTCATCTAGAGAGGACAGCAACAAATAGAAGAAAGTGGATATGTGCTGTTGAAGTCCTATTTTTCACCTGGAACCCAAGGGAACAATTTTTATTTCTATTTATTACTTCATTACTTTATGTTCTCAATGGAACTTTGGAAGCAAGCTAGAGCTATGAAGTTTCGGTTTTATTTTTCTTGGCGTGGGTTCGCTAGTGTCAGTTTCAACCTTTCCTTTTTATCAGCCTTACTACTGACATACAGAGGTTTAAGAGTGCATCGGCCGGGGAGGGAACCACAGACCACATGAGTGGTTGGAAAGTTTTCTACCGCTTAACTGCCGGCGCAACTAAAAGAACAATAATCATATAATCAAAGCGGGGGTTAAGTGGTTGCTTGTTTTTCATTCCGAATGGAACAGAGAGCTAAAAGCTTTGCAATTTCGGTAGCAGTGGTGTATTTTTAATGCAAAAGGGTTGATAACCCCATATCCAATCCTCCGTCTTTTCCAGGCTAGTGAAGTAAGAGAGATTCAAGAGTTCATTGGCTGGTAATCGAACCTCGACCTCCTGTATAGTTGACGAGCGATGTATCACTTAACCATTGTTGCAGTGGAGGTTACTGAAAGTACTTTAATTTATACAAGTGAATGAAAATTTGTAAATGAACACAAATGAAGAATTAGGTAAAGAATTTGAATAACCAGCCACTTATGTGTTTTCTGACAAGATGTAGTATGCTGTAATATTTGCTTACACTCAGAATCTTTACTTTAGATACAACCAGTGATCTATCAAACGGCTTCATCTACTTTTCTCATACGGTTTGATCATAAAAAGTTAGTTTCAGAGAGCATATTTCCGGCCATGTACTCCACCGCTTTCTCCAAAGTCTTAATTGATTGTATTATTTGCAGCTTATTGGATGATCACAGAAGTAATTCCGAATATATTGAGATGCATATGAGCTACACAGATGTGATTGCTTCCCAGTCCATTTTGTTCCTACCTACTACTTTACAAATTGTTACAGGGATGAAACAAGACATCTTAGGAAATCAAGTATTGTATTCAACTAATTTCGAATCGAAGAGATTAACTTTAATTTCACTCAAGGCTGTGAATTCATCTGAAGAAAGACGTTTTTTCTATCAATTAAACTCTCAAATAATCTGACACAAGATATCCCAAATAATCACCTACATCAGTCTGACAGAAATGCCTCCCTTTTTTCGATCCTATAGAGGAGTCCAATGAACTCTTTCGATTTTTGAACCATTAATGTAAGTATTTCGAATGGTTATTTGATTAGTTTTCACCT